ATGGTGGCTCTTTGCTCTGATACAGGAAATGCAGTAATTTGATGGGAACACCCAGATAAGTTCAGTGTTCAGGTGTGGTGGCAAAAGCCTGTAGTCCCAGCACTCAGGGTTGAGTCAGGAAGATCAGTGTGGGGCCATGTTAGGCTACATAGGAAGTGTGAGGCCAACCTGGGGTACATGAAATCCAGTCTAAAATGAACAAAAGTCTTTAAATCAAACATATTCCTTGTGTTTCCTAAAGCCTAGAGAAAAGGAAACTGTCTAGGACACACTTTTTGCCATTTTGTTGATGGGATGAAAAGACAAGGAATTGTGGGGAAAGAATTTGGACCTGGGTTGAAGGGAACCTGGAAGCAAGGTATCTTCTAGCTGTCATGGACTTGTTGTGAATCCTGGCTCAAGCCCTCAAGAAGCCTTACACACTTCCAGGGATACAGAAAACTGTCACCCAAGACTCCACAGTGGTCCAAATTAATGTTGCATGCAAGGCCAGACATGCTTATCTGTGGGTTTTACTCGTTCTGTGACCTGTCAGACATCTTCCTAAGTAGCTGCTGGTGTTGTCCTTGTCGCGGGCAGTTATTGTTCAGCTCTCTGAAGAGGGTGTGCAGGGGTGGTGGTGAGGAGACATTCCTTCTGAGTGGCAGCTAAAGTGAAGTTAGATTTGTAGTGGGAGCTGCGGGCCGCTTCCCTGCCACCCTAGCTCCCGTCCGCCTGGCTAGCTTATGCCCTGAAATAATTACACGGAAACTGTATTCTTTTAAACACTGCTTGGCCCATTAGTTTTAACCTCTTATTGGCTAGCTATTACATATTGATCTAACCCATTTCTAATATTCTGTGTAGCACCACGAGCTGGCTTACCAGGAAAGATCTTAACCTGCGTCTGTGTTGGGTGGGAGAATCATGGTGACTCACTGACTAGGCTTCTTTCTCCCAGCATTTTGTCTGTCTACTCCACCTACCTAATTTTCTGTCCTATCAGGGCCAAGGCAGTCTCTTTATTTAACCAATGAAATTAACACAAAACAGAAGACTCTCCCCCATCAGGATTGACTAACAAAATCGGAAAGACTGGCCGTTACTCTTTTCCTCATAGTCTGTAGAGTGTGGGGATGGGCATTTGCTGCCAGAACTGGGGAAGGCCGGCTGGATAATGGTGTAGGTCACCGTGTTAAGAAGTGGTTCCTAAAGAGGAGGCTTTGGATGCAGTGGTGAGCAGGAGGCTGAGCAGGAGGCTGTGTGGACTGGACTGCTCTGCTGAGGGTCAGCTCCTGAAACTGGTGGGATGGGATGAGGAGAAGGCTTTCAGAGGACTGTTGGCATTCTCGGCTGTGCACGTGTCATGGTTCTACACGCTAGGATCTGGAAAGTCCTGTTTTAAAACCTGGATGTTCCTGCTTAGATTTTAGATGCTGGATCGCTGTTAATGAATGCCAATCCATTCTCTGTTCTGATTCTGAAGCCCCTGGCTCATACACTGTGTGCTTACAATCCGGTTAACCCCGGGTGATCAGCTGGCTTTGCATGCTCGCCTAGAAGAAGGAAGTTGTGTAGCCGATGGTAAAACAGCATTTGGATTTGTGTTGCAAGCATGACACCACCCGCAATCCGCCCAGGCCTGCTCAGCACTGGGGTCTTGCATAAGTAATGCGCCTACACTTCACAGTTTTCCAGTATTTTGTCATTAGAATGAATTTAGGGTTTTGTGAATTTGATCACTGACCTGGGTCTAATGTTGTGTAGAATATAATGAACACCATCAATTTCTGCTCTCTGGGGTGGCAAAATCTTGAGACATCTTTATTTAAAGCCTTTTCAGAATAAAAACAAAACCCAACTGTCCTTCCATGCCGCATAGTTGGCGTGGTTCTGAATTCCCCGATCCCAGCCTTGGATTTATCCAGATGTTTTGTGGACTGATGTTTTTGTTCAGCTTAGTTATACTGATTTATTTTCTGAAATTAAAAAGGATTGTTCGTTGAATTCTCCAATATACCTCCTTTGATGACTGCTGGCAACTTTAAATGAAAATAATTATTCTTCATAATTTCTTTACAGAGTTGAACATTTTTCTGTTTCTTCCCTTGGTTTGAAAACTAAAGACTGTACTTTTTTGTAAAACTTTGCCCAGTGTTATTTTTCTTTTCCCCCTTTTTATTGGTGCTAGGATTTGAACCCAGAACTGTACATTCCAAGCAAGGGCCCTCCCGGGGGACTGTGTCCCCAGCCCAAGACGACTGCTTTTTCCTGAGGTCCTTGTCTGCCAGGCTTGCAAGAGGAACTTTGCAGAGTTTGTGGTTCATATGAGCTGTTCTGCCACATGAAATGGCCTCATGGAGATACAGGCTTATGAAATACAGGCTCCACTTTTGTGATCAGAAGAGGGAATTCTCCTCCTCCTCCTTCTTCCTCTTCTCCTTCCTCCTCCTCTTCTTCCTCCTTCCTTCTTATTCCTCCTCCTCCTCCTCCTTCTTTTGAGATAGCATCCCAAGTAGCCCAGGCTTTCCTCAATCTCCTGATTGCTCTAGATTCCCTTTTCTATTGGGCTGAAATTATAGGACGCTCAGCTTAGAAAAAAGAAACCTAATTACAATTCTAGAATTTGCAATGTTTGCTTCTCTTCCATGAATCCTTTTTGGTAGGAACCAGAAACTCCAGCTGGATTCTCCAGCTGAGACTCCTATGGAGCTGGTCACCTGCTCTTCCTGCCCTCTGTATTGGCCTCCCCGACAAGGCAGGGCTCTCTGCTGGTCTCTTCTTAGACTCTTGTCTGGCCGACAGTGTCTCACGTGTGTCCTTTCTCTTCACTTGGAGCGGAGGCTGTGCTGCCCTCAGGCCCCTCCTGGAGTCAGGGTGACAGCTGGCAATGCAGCCCCCATCCACCTTTCCAAAATCTGAAGACTCTGAGTGTCACTCTTCCCATCGTTTGTGACCCCAGTTGTTTCGAGTCAAAGGGACAGAGGCCGAAGAGGCAGAGTGAGGTCAACAGCGAGGAGCAGTGTGTCATGGTGAAGCCGGAGACCCAGGTTAGTGAGGTCAACAGCCAGGTTAGTGAGGTCAACAGCGAGGTTAGTGAGGTCAACAGCGAGGTTAGTGAAGTCAACAGCGAGGAACAGCGTGTCACATTGAAGCACGGGGAGCCAGGTTAGGTTAGTGAGGTCAACAGCAAGGAGCAGCGTGTCACGGTAACCACGGAGAGCAAGGTTTACTGAGAATGGGAGCACACTACAGTCGAATGCAGAAGGGTTCGGGTGATTAGGAGTACCTGATGGTGTTCCTGTGGTGGGGCCTGGCTGCTTCCTCCGTGGGAAAAGTGTCTGGGGCTCAAGTCTGTTGCAATGAGCGCTAACTCTGAATGACCTTGGTGACCTCAACCTGCCTGCACTTTGAATGAGATGAGAGGTCGTAGAGGGCTGAACCTGCTTATGAAGCAAATGGACATGAAGTAGGGAGAGGAGGCCCCCAGGGAGATGGGATTTCTGAAGCCCTTGACTCAGAAAGTCAGTTCTGGGGGTGGGGGACACAGGAGAGGCAGTCTGGGCAGGTGATGCTAGGGGAGGTTGTGTTTTCCGGGGTTCTCATGCTTAGCAATGATTCAGACCAGGAGTTTGTGCAGTGTCTGCCAGGAAAGGAGCAAGCAGGAATGTCCAGCTGATGAGTGGTGCTGGCTTCTGACTGACCGCACCCTTCTGTGGCACAGAACCTTCCGACCGCTTCGTTGGACTAATGGGGGAACATTTGCTCTAATTTCTTAGACTGATCCCGGAGGACCGTAAGAAGGGCAGCTCAAGACAAACAAAGCGGTGTTAATTGGCCTCATGGATCTCTGTTACTTTTTCCTGGGCTACATCACAGTCCCCACTGAATAAGTGAGCCCGACGCCACCAACATTTGGGAGGTTTACCCCACTTGAACTTGACATTGATCCCAAGTGCACTTCTGTGCGTTCTGTAGATCAGTGCTCACCATCCACGTGCAGAATTCCAGCTGCGCTCAGTGCTGTACCTCCGACTTCTCTGGAAACCTCTCCCCGCTGCCCACCCAAGTACCCCTTATCCTCGGCCAGACAGTGTTCGTCTTTGAAGACCTGGCCTTAAGCCTGGGCTGCTCGAGTCACGTTGTCTGACTGTGACTGCTCTTTCTCCCTCCCAGAACAGCAAGGCCTATTCAGCTGACTTCTCTGATTTCATGTTTTCTTAGACGGCTGACTTTTTCTGGCCAGAAGAAGGGATGTTTTATTTCTCGTAGAGGTGCGCACGGTAGGCTAGTGTAGGCATGTAGTGAGTCTCATGAGTGTTCTGCGTGCAAATGTTGCTAATAGGCACTTTTTATGTGGTGATTCCAGTAGGTGGTATTTGACATGTGTACGTGCCCTGGATTTCTTTCCTAACGTGATGTATCAGAGAATGGTTATCATAATTACTTATTTTTGGTGTCTCAGAATTCCCCATAGGTCTTGTGAATACAGTAATTTGAAATGTTATTTTTAATTTAATTTCTATTTTTCTGTCTTCATTTTCCTGCACACACTTGATCTGCTCCAAGTTTGACTCTTAAGGATGTCACGGTAACCTGGCAGAGCATCCTGGGTTAAGCTGGCCTTTTCTTCCCTGAGATGTATCTCAATGTGATACTCTTGCCCCTTTGTTCATTACAGCTTATCTTTGATGATGGAATTATGGCTCGTGTGCCCTTGAGTTTGACTGCTTCCCCTCATATAAACCTACGATAGCCTGCAGCACACACACACACACACTTAGACACTAGCAGTGTGCTCAGCAGCCTTGTATTTCGGTTTCCACTTGTTAGTGCACAGCAATGTTACCTACTCATCTTGTCACTTGGTTTTTATGAGTTTAGAGTGGTATACATGGCTCATTCTGGCTGAGAAAATTTAGATGCAACAAAAGAAGCACAAACAACATCTAGGCCAGATAACTGAGATTTATATGTATATTACATTTTTTAAATATATAGTACATTTTTGTTTCTTTTAGGAGTCCAACCTCTTGAGTCCGGTGCAGGATGGCACGAAGACCCCACAAATCGATAGCAACAAGGGCAACAACTACCGGATCGTCAAGGAGGTCAGCAGACGGGCGTGCTTTCTCTGCCTGTCCACACACAGGTGGCTTTGGCTCATGTGTGTGTTCCTTCGCTCTGTTTAATGTGCTGCTTCATCTCTTTAAAGATCTTGATCAGGCTGAGTAAGCTCTGTGTGCAGAACAAGAAGTGCCGTAACCAACACCAGCGGCTGCTGAAGAACATGGGGGCTCACTCGGTGGTGCTGGACCTTCTGCAGATCCCCTACGAGAAGGTTTGCTCCTTCCTTTCCTGTCTCCCTTCTGCAGATCCCCTACGAGAAGGTTTGCCCCTTTACTGTCTTCCTTCCATTCAAATAGATCTCATTGAAATGGATCACCAAGTCATAAAGAACTTTTTTTTCCCCTTAATTGTTTAAACCACCCCCCACATTGCCTAGCATCCTTGAATTCCTTTCTGTTTCCTATGCACAAGTGTGAGCTTTTATGCAACCCCATTCCTGCCTTGCAAATTAGGAGGAAGCATGACACACTGTCCTCGAATCCCACACACCGTGTTCCCCCTGTGTCCTGCTGATAGAATCGTCTGTGGTAGAAGCCTGCAGACTCTGGGCTTGGTTGTGCCGTCTGCTTGTGTCTCAGTCCTGAGCTCTCTTGTAGGTTGTTGGTGATTTTGAAGAGAGTCCCCCCCCCCCTTTCCTCCGATGCTTAGGTTCAGTTTCCTATCCTCGGTGGGAACATGGAAGGGTTCTAATTTCTGTGTAGAGCTTCCTGTCGGGCACATGTGGTTCCGATTTGTTCCCAGCGCTAGTGATGTGTCTTCTGGGTTCTCCACTGTCAGAAGCCCCCTCTCCCTTTGTAAGAAATAACTGTTCTGTGCAGAGGCGCCATTGACACTTTCCCATCCTTCAGCAGGCTTTTAATTCACATTTTTGTTAGTGTAGGCACTGAAGGGCAATCAGAAAGTCTGGGAGAAAGAAGGGCAGCGTAACAAGGAGAGGGTGGGAGGAATGGGGTGGACAGGCAGGAACAGTAAGAGTAGGAGGGAAAGGTCTAGAACACGGAAATGAAGGGACAGGAGTAGATAGAAGGGGTATAGGGACACAGCGAGTGCAGAGAAAGGAGAGCGTGGGACAGAGCATGCACGCGGGCATCCATGGTGGAGGGACGCGGCTCTGTGTAAATCCGTCCTCTGTTTGTCAGTGTCATGCGCTGCCCTTTCACCCACAGAATGACGAAAAGATGAACGAGGTGATGGATTTAGCCCACACCTTCCTGCAGAACTTCTGCCGGGGGAATCCACAGAATCAAGTTCTCCTTCACAAGCATCTCAACTTGTTCCTGACTCCTGGAGTAAGTATCGTGGTGACCCTAACGTTTACAGTAGTGTGTGCACCGGTCTAACCCCTCATGTTTACGGCAGAGTGTGCACTGGTCTGACTCCTCACGTTTACGGCAGTGTGTGCACCGGTCTGACTCCTCACGTTTACAGTAGTGTGTGGACCGGTCTCATGTGTATGGCAGTGTGTGCACCTGTCTGACTCCCCACATTACGGCAGTGTGTGCACTGGTCTGACCCCTCACGTTTACGGCACTGTGTGCACTGGTCTGACCGCATGGTGAAAAGAATTTTATCGACTTTTGTGCATCATTTTCCCCTTGTTGAGATTCACTCCATAAAACAGTGTTTCCTCAGAACAAACTCTTAAAGTCATTTGAAAATTCAGACAAGTTTTATACGCCAATAACAGTTTCATTTATAACATACAATTTATGTTAGAGTGAGGGTTTTAGAACAGAGAACTAATTTGATGGCACCTTGGTGAAGTTAAACATGGGAGCTGGGGTACAGATCAGCAGGAGACAGCTTGCCTAGCATGTTCAGGACCCAGAACCACAAAACCCAAACCAAACACAAACGCACAAGAACTGAATATTCAAAGGCTGCATTAACTGTGGTCTGTTAGGAGAGTATAGGCAGAGTGTTCACTGTAGAAGTGTGAGGACCTTGGTTCAGATCCCCAGTGCCCACCTAAGCCAGGTACAGCCTTGTGTGCCTGTGATACCAGTGATGAGCAGCAGAGACAGGACCACAGGAGCCTGCTGGCCAGTGGGCATACTGGGGATCAGTCAGGTTCGGTGAGAGACCCCGCCGCAAGGGAATAAGATGAAGAGTGACAGAGGATCCTGCTCTGCTCTCTGCTTGCACATATATGGCACATGTACCCCTCACCATACATACCTGTGCACACAGCACACATGCTTATTCCGTGTGCTTACAAAATGATAAAAAAGCATGAGCAGATCTTGAGGAAGAGCCACGTTGGAATAAGGGTAAATCATCCCCAAGAACGCAGTTGCTGGGCATGCACTTGCCGACTTCCTCGCTCCAGCTGAACCCCATTGTGAGGCAGATTTCCTTCAGTGGTCAGTGAAGGAAGAGAGGCCCTGGTAGTCCACGGTGGCTTCACATGAGTCACGAGAGCTCACCCCTCTGCTCAGCTCCTCGAGGCGGAGACCATGCGGCACATCTTCATGAACAACTACCACCTGTGCAACGAGATCAGCGAGAGGGTCGTGCAGCACTTCGTGCACTGCATCGAGACCCACGGCCGCCACGTGGAGTACCTGAGGTTCCTGCAGACCATCGTGAAAGCAGACAGCAAATACGTGAAGAAGTGCCAGGATATGGTCATGACGGAGGTAGGTTTTCTGTCTGTGTCTCACCAGCTTCACATGAGCTGGCCTAGATATGCCCCGTCAGCTCAGAGCAGGGGAAGACCTCCGAAGCGACTGCTGAAGCGCTGGTAGGGTCGACACTGGTGTGGTGAGGTAACACAGGACAGCCTGACGTCAGGATTGTCTTCAGAGTTTTTCTGTTTGAGCTGTAATGAATTTGGGTCTGTTAAATAATGGGTCATTTTGTTTAACTTAAAAGATTGTGTGTGTGTGTGTGTGTGTATGAGTGTGTTTATGTGTGCACATGTGCATGTGTGCATGTAGGTGCCTCTGGAGGCCAGTAGAGGGAGTTAGATCTCCAGGATCTGGAGTAACACATACTCATGACCTGCTTAATGTGGGTGCTGGGAATTGAACCTCGGTTCTCTGCAAGAGCAACAATTACTTTTAGCCACTGAGCAACCCCCCCCCCCCAGCTCCTACAGTGGGTAGAATCTTAGGAGATCACAAGATTATTTGGAATTAACACAATTTTTCTCTTTAAAAATTTTTAGTAACATAACAGAACCGTTGAGCTCTGATGCTTCCTGCTCTTTCTGAACTGCAGGATGGTTGTTTTCTGCCACTGTTTGTAATAGCTTTGAAAAACAACACGAGTTAATTAAAAATGATTGGCAGGGCTTCATTAGAGCAGTAGGAATTGGGTATTTTAATGAGATAAGAAGGAAAATGAATGACCCACTTTGGGAGAGGTTGATGTGGGCTGGCTGCTCACTGGGGACACCAAGGTGCTCCTTTGGAGAGCTGGCGACCAGATGCAGGCTGGCAGACCGCGCATCAAAGCAGCGTCACCCACGGCTGCAAGGCAGTCCATTCCCCAGGGAATCACGTGGGTCTGGGGAAATTCCTATCGCCATATGCCTTCTGGTTAGAGAGAGATGTCTCCATGTTTATTTTCTGTGCCACACAGAAATCTTAGGCCTTGGACTTTTACGTATGGGTTGTGAATGAGCCACAAGCAGACAGTGACGCAGACACATGGGCCCTTCATGTGACGTATATCAACGGGATGCTTCTGTGTCAGGAAATGTTTGTGATATTATACATAACCACATTTGGGCACATACATTTCTTTGCAGCAGGACTATCAAAGTGGCTTATTGATTTAAATGTAATAACTAAATTGAAATTTATATATCATTTGAAACCTGACCAAACATCTCATATCAAGGTTAGAAGATTGTTATCAGTCGTAGATAATAGATAGCAGCATGGAAAATAAAGTATGCTATATCTTGAGGCTCTGAAAGCATACACCAACATATGAGGAACAGTTATGTCCTAAGCACCGCCCCTTCTCATTTCTTTGTCATCTCAACTCTCTGTTCTATTTTCTGATGCCTTCCCATTAAATGAGGAATTTTCCAGATTTTTATAAAGTTGTATTTGAAGCAGTGTACAAGGTTGCTCACTTAATTGCTGATGTGAATACTTCCTTATGATTTTTAATGTGTATGTAAGTGTGCCTTATCTGTGGGTGTATGCATGTAAGTGCACTGCCTGAGGAGGCCAGAAGAGGGCATCAGCTCCTCTGGTCCTCTGCAGAAGCAGGGAGTACTTTTAATTGCTCAGTCATCTCTCCCAGTCCCTCACTGTATTACTTTAGGAAAAGCAAACACAGGAACTCAGATGTTTGGCTCTCCCGGTGCTGGGGTTCTAGGTCTGCACCCCCAGGGCCTGGCTCTGTCCCTTCTGTCATTTCTCCTGTCTGGTTTCAGAAGCGTCAGTAGCCGGTCACTCGGCACCTATTTGCGTTGGTTTCTGTTTGTAAACGGAGATCCACGTCTAGCTTCTGCTGTCTAGCTTCTCTCTTCTGCATTTCAGCTGATTAACGGGGGTGAAGACGTGCTGATATTCTACAACGACAGAGCGTCGTTCCCCATCCTCCTCAACATGATGTGTTCCGAGAGGGCCCGCGGGGATGAGAGCGGCCCCCTGGCCTACCACATCACCCTCGTGGAGCTGCTGGCCGCATGCACAGAGGGGAAGAACGTCTACACTGAGATCAAGTGCAATTCTCTCCTGCCCCTGGATGACATCGTGAGGGTGGTGACCCATGACGACTGTATCCCCGAGGTCAGCCTGACAAACACCTATCATCTGTAGAACGCTCTTGTTTGTAAAGTTCACCTGGGGGGATCACCTGTGTCTCCCTGGTAATATTTATGATGGTATTACATATTTAGGAGAGGCATTAACTGTACTTAGTTATGTAATCTGCCAAGTGGAAAAGAACACAAAGATTCTGAGTTTTTATTCGCACAGAGGGAAGGCAGGTCCCTTGACTAAGAACTACAAGCGTCTCAAAGTCAGCGCATGGTAGTGGGCTTACAGGGAAAGATTGTAGCTTTTGAGCAGGAACCTGGTGGCTCCTTGGTGAATCAGTCATTGATTAGAGAGCCCACAGTAGACTCCATGCTGCACAGAGTGTGTGTCTTCCTGAGACAGTGCCCACACCATCTCTCAGCCTCGCTTCTACTTCAGCTTTGATGTTTGATGCACAATACCGCACAGAGGACGATTATTGGTTGAGGAAATCTTTCTACTAGTGAGGCTTCAGGGAACACACAGTGCAACGATTTCTTTCTTTTCTGCTCTTTTGGCATGTATGACGGATCATAACTATGTCTATACTCTAAAGGACATAAAACCCAAAGGGGTCAGGGGAGTTTTCCATCCCTATTGAAGTAGCCCTGCGCCATGGCAACACAGTCACAGACCTGAAGGAATATTGATGTGACATCATTAACATCTCAGTCCAAGGGTCCTTCATGCCTGGGAGGTGGACTGAGATGAGATGACTGAGAGGGGTGGGATGGAGGAGAGGACCTTGGGCTTGGTCCTTATCTGAGGTCCTGGTCTTGGCCACGCCAGACCCAGGTTTAATTCTCAGGGCCCGGACCTTTCCTGTGTTTACTGGAGTCACCCACCTCACGCCTTACTGCTTCAGAGGCAAGTTCTCGGGCTGTGCGGATATGGCCACCCACCTCTGATGAAAAGCTGGCCGATTGACTCTCATTAGCTCTCATGCCTTCCCCAGGAGGATCGGCTCCAGGAGGGGAATGGCTAGGTGTGGTCCAGTTGTCCAGCAAACTCAACAGTGAGTTAGGATCCCGATCCACTGGTTCCTAACTGTGTGGTGACTCCAGCAGCCGCTCAGCACTTCCAGCATCCAGTGCCCACAGTTATACAGTAAATAATCACCACGTCTGTAGGATTATTAGAGGGTTGTGGTCAGTAAGAGGAGGCATGGGAAAGGCCGAGGGGTTTCACGCGTGGGGGACGCAGTCCGTACAGCTGCTGTGGAGACCATGGTTGTCTGTGTGTCTCGGCTCTTTTTAGCCCGTGACCAGTCTCAGCATGGCATGTGCCAGCGAGGATTTCTTTTTCTAGACTTCAGTGGCACAGCTGGAAGCCCTGCAGGCAGGAAAGCTTGCCCTTGGCCCTTGTGGTTCTGACTCAAAGTCCAGGAATCCCATGGGATGATTGACAGGATTTTCTTCTGTACACAGCCTTCTCTTGGAGACTTTTAAGTTCCTCCGAGTGTCTCAAGGATGCTCTGCTTGCTTTGAGTAAGGCTCTGATTTTCACAGCAAGCTCTGGGCATAGGGTGAGGAAATGCTAGACTCCAGGCTTCGCTGGGCCAGGGCAGAGGCTGTGAAAGGGAAGAAAGCAGGAAACCCGCACGTGGACCAAACAAACTGTAATCTACTGCGGGATCCCACATGGATGACGTTTCTCTGTAGAACAGAAGGCCATGGGTGAAAACATCCAACTTGCCTTTGTTTGAAACCTGCGCAGGTCAAGATTGCGTACGTGAACTTCGTCAATCACTGCTACGTTGATACGGAGGTGGAGATGAAAGAAATCTACACAAGTAACCACATTTGGAAATTATTCGAGAATTTCTTGGTGGATATGGCAAGGGTAAGTTAAATGCTCTTCGTGTGGGGTAAGAGCATCGGTATTGATCGGTGTTGATTTTGGTTAAGCAGTATATAGATGGACATTTGCAGTTCACCCAACTGCATTTTGATTTAGTCTGTTTTATCCGTGAGGCTGTGGCTGAGTTCCAGGAGATCGTGGGTGACATGTAGCAAGGTAACATAAACCAGAGCCCTACTATGGCATGTGCAGTGAAGGGGACGTGTTTAGCGTCCACCTGTATGAAGGACCACATTTGTCTGCTACTAAATGGGATTCAGGAGTCTGGCTACGTGGCTTAGAGGAAACCTTTGGCAGAGGCCGTTTTCAGCTTAAACTCTCGCCGTGAATGCAGTTAAAGCCACAGGTGGAGGAGGCCTCGAGTGGTATGGGGGGACTGTGAGCGGGCTTCTCCTGACCCCCGTTACCATCTTCCCTGGCTCTGGCCATCTGGTCATCTGAACCTTCATATACGTTCCCCAAATCATATTCGGCTTTTACTTTGAGTCCGTTTCCTTTTTTTTTTTTAAATTGGGAGGTGGTGTGTGGTACTGAGGGCATTTTATAGTGGATGCTGTCTGGCGTGTGGTACTGAGGGTATCTCACAGACACCGTCTGGTGTGTGCATCTGCCCTGGGAAAATGAGCAAGCCAGGAAAGGCCCCATTTACCCTTTTGTACCTTATCTTTTACATAACAAATCCTTATTAACATCCAGGGGCCTTTTATTTTACATCTTTTTCAAACAAGGCTTCATTCCATAGCACAGGTTGGCCTGGAGTAACCCAGGCTAGCCATAAACTCCTAGCCATCATCCTGCATCAGCCTCCCAAGTGTTGGGATTACAGGTGTGAGCCACCATGCCAAGTTCTCTCATATGAGTTTAAAAGTGACAGGATGTGCAAGCTGAACAAGGATTTTCTAGGAAAGGCAGTGTATCCGTAGCTCCTTAGACCTTGTGCGAGTTAAGGTGACCTGACCAGTCCCTCGGGCCTTCCTGCTTCCCCCAGTGCTGGTAGCTTAGGCAGGCCTCACCTGGATGTGCTTGAGGATGGGGACTACCGAAATCTTACAAGAATGATTGCTTGCTGTATCCGGTGGTTCATGGCCTCCGTCGACCCTTTCTGGAGAGGAACGATGAACTACATATACCAGAGCTGCCGCTGTAAACCCAGACACCCGAGAACACCCCTGGACGATATAGTGGGTCAGTCCTTCCAGGCCGGGAAGTCTTCCTACTTAGTCGGGGTTTCCAGGCAGAATGTGCTTGTTTTACTTTCGGTGCAGCAGAGCGAGCGAGCGAGAGCTTCACTCGGTTCAGGTACCTGCGAAAGTAGAGCCTTTCTGCGTCCCGTCACTTTTGTGCGGCCACCTAGAAGTCACCGTGCCCCTTCTCAGCTGAATCGCAGCGAGAGAAACCACCCAGTTCTCCCACGTTTAGCACGTACCACTTATGTTTGTCACCACTGACCCGTGGAAAGCGTGGCTCTGGCCAGCTGCAGGCAGCTCTTGTCACCACTGACCCGGGAAAGCGTGGCTCTGGCCAGCTGCAGGCAGCTCCTGAGTCCTTGAAGCAGAGGATGACTTCAGGGCTGCACGTGCAGGGAGATGCTGAAGAGCTTCCAGATGAATGAGCATCCGCAGAGCTGCCTGGCGGCACTGAGGAGGATAAGCTGAGAAGGACGGAGGGTGTATTCTCCGCAGTACAGGCCTCAAGCTAAAAAGGCGCTGATCTTCATGCTCAGTCAGCAGTGCAGGCTATAACACTAAAAAGGAGTTGATTTCCTTAAAACCAAAGAAAGCTGACCGGGCTACCCCTGGACCCACACACTCCTTCCCCTTAAGAATTCAGAAGCTGCGGCCCTTTGTTTTGAGTTTGCTTACGTTGATGATTCTGAAGAGCCGTCCATTACAGAACGGCTCTGGAAGACTTCCTGGAATTCCCGCCTGTCTGCCCCGAGTTGACTGCAGGTTCCTCTCAGGTTCTTCTTTGTCCTCCTAAGTCCTTCTCCAGGGAGGACATGAAACCACCTAGCACTTTCTGGAAGAGGGTTCCTTCCTCCCTCTGCAGAAAGGTGAAGGTGTCACTCAAAACGGAGCCTGCTCCCCAGAGTCCCGGACCCAGCACTTGGGAGACAAGACACTTGAAACAAGTCTTAAGTGGCACCACAGTTGGTTTGGGGGCACCCTGAGAGCCACTGCAGTAGGGTGTGGCAGCTAAGAGCGGGGGGGGGGTCACAGGAATTAGTCAGACTGGGTCCAGATCCAAACTCCGCCTTTCTCTAAGCACCTTACATATATTGGGAAGGGTACTGTAAAGGTTTTGCCCCCGAGTCACCATATAATAAATACATGCCCCCGGGAAGAGCTGGTGAGGTAACGCACCACGAGCTCTTGGTACATACTGCACTTTGCAGAGGGACTGGTGACGTTATGTCATGACCAGGATCATCACAAAGCTATGAGAGCCTTTTGGGCAGGGCAGCTTCAGGAGCTTCCCTATACCTAAAGGATGTTGGTGACATAATGACATTGAGGGTGAGGTGAACACAGACTGTCCACACAGTCAAGAGCCAGACGAACATTAACCTGGGCTTGCATGAGGTCACGTATGCGTGAAGCCAGGCATACATATAACCAGACCTGGAAGAGACTAGATATGTGTGAAGCCAGGTGTGCATGAAGTTGGACACGAATTAAGCTGGAAGCTGAAAAATGCATGAAGCCAGCTATGCATGTATCAAGGCATGCACGAAGCCAGGCACGCGTGAAGCCAGACCTGCAGGGTACTAGATTGTGAATGAAGCCAGCTACACATGAGACTGGGCATGAATTAAGCTGGAATCTGAGTTTGCATGAAGCCGGGTGTCTTAGTTAGAATTTCTGTTGCTGTGAAGAGACACCATGTACAGCAATCTGGCTTACAGTTCAGAGGTTCAGTGCGTTGTCATCATGCGGGAAGGATGGAGGCACTCAGGCAGACATGGTGCTGCAGAAGGAGCCGAAAGTTCTACATCCAAATCAGGAGGCAGCAGGAAGAGAGTGACAGTGGGCCTGACGTAAGTGCTCCCCACATGTCCTCCAACAAGGCCACACCTACACTCCCTATGACCCAATGGAGATCATTTTCATTGAAACCACTCCACCAGGTGTGTACGAAGCCAGGTATGTGTGAATTCAGGTACATGTGAAGTCTTACGCAGACATCACGTGGCACAGACTGCTACAGAGGACCAGCATCAGACTCGGGTGCTCACAGCAAACTTGTAACTCCCTGGAGCGACTGATTAACCTCAGAGGGGGGGGGAGCTTGTGAAGAGCTGTCCTGTAAGACCACACATGGCAGGGGTCAAACGGGAGTATCACCAGAGCACAGCGGCTTGCTGTCCAGTCTTAGCTTTTAGCATCTACCCGGAAAGTTCTAAAAAGATGTCATTACCATGTTTGGCATGCTTTGGTTTCTATTTCTGCACAACTTAAAACTTAAAGACTCTTATACTGACTCCGAGTTTTCTTTTTTATAGCTTCTGCCTTGATTTTACTTGGCCATCAACGAAGGGCAGGTCAGTTAAGCAAAGATGTAGTGTATGTCAGGAGTGTATACCCATCCTCCCTATCATGAAACTTAGGAAACGTCCAGGTGGCCTCATAAGTTTGCTCCCGGAGTCCAGGTCGTAATTTGCTAGTAGACTCTCCTGTTTGTTACGAACGGGAAGGAAGGCTTCTCCGCTCCCCCTCCACCCTCCCGTCTCCAGCAGCGTCTCAGAGGTAGCCTTCACGTCTCCCACTGTTTTCTCCATGACTTTTGCTGATTCTCTTTTGAATCGTGTCTGTCTGGTGTGCTGTTTCCAGGCCTTTGGATTCCTTCTAGCCTGTCTGAGCCTACACAATTGTATTTCCGTAGAATTTGGGGAACAGGTTGTCTGAAAAGACAAATGAAGTCTCAACGCCGGCAACCACATAATGTCTGCTTCCTTCCCGTGCTGTTTCGTGGTCATCACTGCCAGGCCTTGGGGTTCTCGGAAAGCCCTCTGGAGTCACTGTGATTTGTATCTTCCATTTTCCCCTTTATGGGCTTTATCCTGCATAAGGGACAAAGACCACACGAGTGGGCCAGTGAGAGGGCTCGGCGGGTTAAGGAGCTTTGCTGTTAAGCCTGATAACTTGAGCTTGATCCCCGGGACACATGTGGTGGAAGGAGAGACGAGGCTCTGGCAAGTTGTTTAGTAAATTTAAAAATAATTTTAAAGACACATAGAAAACCTTTCCTGAAGGATAGCTTTTAATAAGCTGCGTGATATCACCACACGTTATCACCTTTCTGATGTCCTGACAGAGACGGGGCCCGTGAGCTGGAACACGGCACGCTGGGACAGCGGCCAGGCTATTAGACCCAGGAGAAGTTGTTTCTGTCTTTCAGACCATTAATGACAGCCCACTTTGATCTATGTTCTAATGCAGCTGAAATTGGTGCTTCTGGGGCAGAAATGCATCTCTTCGTCTTGATAACGTCAGGGGACTCGGGTCGTTATCAGGGGTGCCTAGAAGGGGTGGGCGATGATCAGTGTTAGTCTCAGACTGCAGGGGGATTGTTTCTGAAGATGTTCCCAATACTGCCATCCCTTTCGAGACCTTCCAGCGGCCAGCTGTACTCTGAGTAACGTTCCGTCAGAACAAAATTATACCTAGAAATAATTTAGGATGTGTCTGGTCGGTGTCCTATCAGTCACTGCTTAACAAGACAGATCAAGATACCATGATGTCAGACAGATCGTCCCCTTTCCTGCCAAGTAGGAGTTTGGAGATAAGCAGAATCTGTGTCTACTCTAAATGTGCTTCTGTGTGGGCTTCGTTAGATAGATTAAGCAGATGGCTTATGATTTTGTTGATTTTTTAAAAAGTTAAATGGATCATTAATAAAAGTCACTTGAAAGTGGTTTTTTTTTTTTTTTTTTTTTTTTTTTTTTTTTTT